GTGAATGTCGGGTCTGGGGGGCTCCGGTAGGGGAGTAGGTGAGGAGAGGCGGAGAGGAGGAGACCTCGGTACCCGCATCACACGTTCCACGTCGCTGCTGCCAACGCCATCAGAAACCACCGCGTCGGTCGAAGCTCTTGCCGATACTGCTGCTGCTGCCGCCGTCGTAGCCGCCTCTGCTGTGACTGTCGTCGTCGCTTTTTCTACAGCTGCCGTCGCTGATTTCGTCGCTGCTTCTGTCGCCGCCGCGTCTGCTGTGCGCTGTGACCAGGTGAGCCCAGGCAGCGCGTCGCCCGTGTCACGCTCCAGTGACTTTTCAGATGGCGAAAGCGGCGAAGTCGTGGCGCATCGTGGTACTGCTGGTGCTGGTGCTGTCTCTCGCCGTCCTCTCGTCGCCCAGCCCTCCACCAAAGCCGTGCCCCACACCCTCTCCCGCGGGCACTCCCGCTGAGAGCCAGGCCGCCTTCGACAACCCACACCTGAAGGAGCTCTTCCGCAGGTACGGCCAGGGGGACGTCCTCACCCCCGAGGGCCTGCACAAGCTCCTGCTCAGCCTCGGCCTCCAATTCGAGGACGACCACGACCATCTCCATCACACACACGACCACCAGAACCTCCCCGACGACCCCCTCGGCCTACCGACGACGAGGAAGGACGACCCGGAGGAGGAAGACCACTTCCACGACGACCACCACCACGCACACGATGACCACGTGACCCACGACCATAGCCCGGACGACCACAACCGGAGGCAGAAGGACCACCAGGCGGACAGCGACGGCCGCAATCACGGCGATGAGCCCAAACTAGACGGCAGGGCGGACGACCCGTACTCCACCGTCGTCGTCGTCGACCACCCGCGCAGCAACCACCTCGGCGACCCGCACGACCTCCTCGGCGGCCACATCGACGACCGCTTACACGACGACCATCGCCACTCCGAGGATGGCCATCTAGACAACAACCACCATCGGGACGGGCACGCGGACGACTCTCTCTCGCGCCGGTCGTCCCCGTCGTCGTCGTCGTCGTCGTCGTCGCCGTCCAGATCCGTGCACGAAAGCGACGCCACGGGTCAAGCCGCCAGAGGTCGTGCCAGGTCAGGGCGGACCGGGACACCACGCGACCCAGGTGAGCTCGATCTTATATCCGTTTATCTGTATTTATCTATCTGTCTGTCTGTTTATTTGTCCATTTGTCCATCTATCTTTGTAATATATTTACCCTCCCCCCATCGACCGAGAGAAAAAGAAAAAGAAAACTTTTATAGAGTAATAATTCAAGCAGTCGCATACACACAATTTTTTTTCTTCTTTTTCCTCACGTCTAACGACGAGCGATTAACAGTCTAGTAAAGATTTATTTATCAAAATTCCCACACCACACATGAGAAGGTTACTGGACTCCGTGGAGTCTAATATATATATAAATAAGGTGAAAATTAAGGTTGGGAAAATGTAAACACCACTAAGGCATAATTCTACGGAAAATAAACCAACATTTGACCACTCCACTTTCCATCTTTCTCTGTCTCACTCACTGTTATTTACTTACACTCACATTGTCACTGTCACTCACTGTCACTCACCGTCATCCACTGTCATTCACTCACACTCACTTTCTCTATCTCACTCACTGTCACTCACCGTCATTCACTGTCACTCACTCACACTCACATTGTCACTGTCACTCACTCTGTCACGCTTCTCTCAGGCCCTGCTAATGCCACGAGCGACCCGGAAGCATCGCCGCGTGTCAATTCTTCTGCGCCTGCATCCTCGACGCCCCCCCCTCCTGCCCCGTCTGCCGCTGCAACACTTCATCCTCGAACTATTACTACGGTGACCACGCGATCTCCAGCTTCCCCCAAGGTAAGGAGATTTTTTTTTTACTTCTTTATGTAGGCCTGTTTTATCAAGGGTTGTTAGAAAGTGGCATATAAACACGTCCGGTTTGGGAATTAATTGCGAATTACCGTGTTGAAGTAAAACAAAACAACAACAACAACAACAAAACTGAGATGGTTACGAGAAAATACAGACATACTAATGTAAAAAAAAAGAAAAGAATAATGCTTTGAAGCCGAACGTTTTGTCGTCAGAGCGAGGTGAAGGAAAATATTAATAAAAGGTTAGAAAGGAACCTTAGGAGGGAGGGTAGAGGGAAGAAAGAAAATACATAAAGGTAAATACCAGTTTAAAAAGGTAAAGAAAAAGCTAACTAACTGTAAAATCAGAGTGTAGGTCTACAAGTAATACTACTACGAAAGGGGAAATGCCAAAACATGTACATAGATGCGAGGCAAAAGAAAGATAAATATAAGAAATTAAATTAAGTAAGAAAAAGAATGAAAGATGGAATGGAAAAGAAATAGAGTGTATTAACAAAAAAAGGGGAAAGAAGAGGGTAAACTAAACGAATCAACTATTACTATAAACAAATCAGATGATACGATAAACAAATCAGCTGTTCCCTTTTAATTATCACGTGTCTTAGCCATCGACAGGCCTTAATTGACACGTTAATGACCCACTGATAACGATAACGAGCGAGTGATAAGGAAAAAACACCCTCATCCGGTATTGTCCCGATGGGCAACATGACCCGCGATAAGATACATATTTTTTCTTTATCTTTATAGTCGATAAAGATATTTCGTTACTAGTATTGCTTTTTTTTTTTGGTGTGTGTGTGTGTGGGGGGGGGGATATCGATTCTTGGCGATGGAATGAGTTGCAAAATATGGGTTCAGGTAGAAAAGAGGAGGCATGGGAGGGGGGGGGGGTAATTTTTTGTTTGTTTGTTTGTCTTTCCAATTCGCTAATCCCAGTCAAATATATAATTAAGCGCCCAACAGTTTGTGGCATCATTATTTGAGCAAGTGGCGTTGGCGGGAGGGGTGGGAGGGGGGGGGTATACAGCAGGAACGGGAAGCACGCCCTTGATATCGGTAAACGTAATTTCTCAATATGATTACAAGCGCGCACGCACGCACGCACAAACACACGCACGCACGCACAAACACACGCACACACACACGCGCACGCGCACACGCACACGTGTTTTTGGGTAGGCAGATTATTCGATTAAGGAGATAGGGAGAGAGAGGGAGAGGGAGAGGGAGAGGGAGAGGGAGAGGGAGGAAGGAGGGAAAGAAGGGAAGGGGGGGAGAGGGAAATTAGAAGAAGAGGTAGAAAGAAAGAAAAAAAGGAAAATGGAGAAAGAAATTGAGTTGGACAGAGAGAGAGAGAGAGAGAGAGAGAGAGAGAGAGAGAGAGAGAGAGAGAGAGAGAGAGAGAGAGAGAGAGAGAGAGAGAGAGAGAGAGAGATTCACCTCTGTCGACATTTCCTAAGCGTACTGGAGATCAGAAAACTTTTTTTTCCACTCTCGAGAAGGAAAAATGATGACACGACAGATAACACACAGATAACTGATAACAACGATTAATCCAATTAGCGCATTTTCTTTGTCTTTTTTTTGTTAAAAAGAAGAGATGGATGGCATTTTCAATTTGGACTCTAATAAGGACAACAAATATATATATATATATATATATATATATATATATATATATATATATATATATATATATATATATATATATATATATATATATATTCACCCGGAGGGGGCCTGTACCAGGAACTATAGATAAGTAGATAAGAGGCTTTTTCCACACGACCCCTCACTCTGCCGGTCAGCTGATCTCCGGACCGGAAACTTGTGCGGAATTCATTTGAACTATTAGTCATCTTTCCCCATAAAAAACAACGACAACAATACGGAAATAATACTAAAATGATGATGATGATGATGGCATTAATAATAACAGCAACAACAACAAAACCAAACCAATATTGATAATAATAATTACCATCATCATCATCATCATCACCACCACCACCATAACAATAATAATGAAAATAATAACCAACAATAATATAGCCTGGGTGATGCGGAGAACCCGAGACCTAACCTTGATGATGACACTGAGATATTGTGCCATCGCTTTTGTGATCTTCTGTTTTGTGTGTGTGTGTGTGTGTGTGTGTGTGTGTGTGTGTGTGTGTGTGTGTGTGTGTGTGTGTGTGTGTGTGTGTGTGTGTGTGTGTGTGTGTCTGTTTATGCGTACCTGTGTGCACGTGTCCGTGTCTGCGTACCTGTGTACACGTGTCTGCGTACCTGTGTGCACGTGTCTGCGTACCTGTGTGCACGTGTCTGCGTACCTGTGTGCACGTGTCTGCGTACCTGTGTGCACGTGTCTGCGTATACAGATGTCTGTGTATTTGTATGTATGTGTACATACAAATATGGGTAGATATCCGTTATATATATATATATATATATATATATATATATATATATATATATATATATATATATATATATATATATATATATGCATATGTACATACATACATACACACATATACAAAAACGCATACAGGCATGTTTCCATTGTGCATTCAACTGGACGTAAACAGATGCGTGTGTATACGTATCCACGCATATCTTGCGAGTATACGCTAGTCTATTCGCGTGCCTGTGTGCGTGTGGAACCCACCTGGAGCACGAGGATCCCCGAGCCGAGATCTCCGACGGGGTCCATGGCTTCGATATCTTGCATCAGCATCACAAAAAGGAGACGAAGGAAAAGTGGAGAAGGAGAACGAATGGAGGAGGAGGGAGGGGGAAGAGGAGGAAGAAGAAGAAGAAGAAGAAGAAGAAGAAGAAGAAGAAGAAGAAGAAGAAGAAGAAGAAGAAGAAGAAGAAGAAGAAGAAGAAGAAGTGGAAGAGGAAGAAGTGGAAGAGGAAGAAGAAGAGGAAGAAGAAGAGGAAGAAGAAGACGACGACAAGGACGACGAGGACGACGAGGACGACGACCTGATGACTCGGCGACGAAGACCCGCGGGGCTCAAGGGCGGCCACGATAATGCGAAGCGACGAAGGCGACGGTGACCACGACGGCGTCAACAATACCGGGTGTGTGCGTGATAAT